GGTGGTCTTGGGGTGGGCTGTCTGCTACACACAGGTGCGAGCGGCCTGGGTGTGCACACACCAGCAAGCACCCATGACGTTACCACACCCTAAACCCTAAACCCTAAACCCTAACCCCAAAAAGCGACTACTTTTGGGCCCTGCCCGAGCCAGGCCCTGGGTCAGCGCGGCGGAGTGGTCCGCGAGCGGGACGGCTTTGAGGCGGCGACCGGGGCCGAAGCAAAGAACTTAGGCTTCGGGGTCTGGGGTTACGGGTTTAGGGTTCGGGGTCTGGGGTTTAGGGTTTAGGGTTTAGGGTTCGGGGTCCGGGGTTTAGGGTTCGGGGTTTGGGGTGCGGGGTTTAGGGGTTAGGGTTCGGGGTCCGGGAGTTTAGGGTAAGTTTAGGGTTCAGGGTTCGGGGTCCGGGGTTTAGGGTTCGGGGTCCGGAGTTAAGGGTTTAGGGTTTGGGGTCGGGGGTTTAGGGTTTTAAATTTAGGGTTCGGGATCCGGGGTTCAGGGTTCAGTTTAGAGTTTAGGGTTTGGGGTCCGGGGTTTCGGGTTTGGGGTCCGGGGTCCGGGGTTTAGGGTTTAAGGTTTGGGGTCCGGGGTCCGGGGTTTCGGGTTCGGGGTCCGGGGTTCAGGGTTCAGGGTTCAGGATCCAAGATTGATTCAGGGTTTCAGGCTTAGGGTTTAAGGTTTGGGGTTCAGGGTTTAGGGCTAAGTTTGCCGGGTTTGTAACTCGCGGCTAGGGGTTTGTTGTTTAGGGGTTTAGCCTTCTTTGTGAACTTAGTTGTCTGTTGTTCTATTTTCTTTGGGGACGTTCCTGTTACTCGGTTCACTACAGAAGTACCTGTTGTCCCTGCCGTAAGACTCGGCGAGGCTTGTTGGGACGTTGAAAACGGAAGTAAGATGCTCTTGAATCAAAATCGCCCGGAATTTGGATATAGACTGGCCTCTGGGCCCGTTTCAGATTTCATGCTTGGGGCCTCGGTGTGTTGGAAGTACTGCTTGCATCTCTTTAGCAGCCATCTGCAATAAGCTTAGCCCCCGTCCCACGCCCTTGGACTGCGCAGCTATAATCATCGTCGGTTTTCCTAGGTAGTATTAGGGTCCCCTTAAAGGAGAGCCTTCTTGACCCTACTTGTGGCTCTCTGAAAAAGGGACCTTAGTAAGTTGGTCTATGTTCTGACGGGTCCCCCCTAATCCCAACTCCTACCTATAGTCTCAATTGTAGTTCCTTTCTGGTGATACTGTTTAAATCCTCAATATATACATATATATATGTCTATATATTTGGTTGAACCCAGAAAAGGAGCTACAATGGAGACTATAGGTAAGTTTAAAGTTCAGAACGTAAATCCCCTAACGCTAAGTTCACTCTCCGGTTTCGCCTTTCGGCTCGCGAGCCCCTCAACCCTAAACCCCTTGAGCCCTACACCCTCCTGCAACCCTAAACCCCTACTATGGGGTTTAGGGTTTAGGGTAGAAGGGCCTAAAAAAATACCAAGGCTATTTTGGGGGGCTCCGTATTACAATCATAGTATACAATAACCCAAAACCCTATTCTACGTATTAAGGCCCCTCCCGACATTAACCCCCAAACCCAAACTCACCAACCTCCACATAACTCAGGGAAGGACATGCCCAATGGTCGCTCCTGTTACAAGCAAGAAGGCTTTGTATAAACCCCCAACCCTAAACCCCTGTAAGCCTATACAGGTGTTATGACACCCATGAAAACCCAAGTTCACTAGTGAAAGCCTTTTTCTGAAATAACCTAGAAGCCTTTAAACCACCACTCTAACTTGTCTGACCCACTCTGATTTTTTTGACCCTTACAGAAAAGACCTACACATTCACTTTGAAAGCCCTCTCAACCACCATTCCAAATATTATCCCTAACCCCTTAAAGTCTGAAGCCATGAGCTCTCTAAACCCAAAGCCCTACACAAGCCCTAAGCCCTAGAACCCCAGACTCTCACACCCCTCAGAAGCCTGGCTCCAAGAAGCCGCAGGTCTTCTTTGGCGTGGATGGCACCAAGGCCTCGCAGTCCAGGGCTGCAAAAGCCAAGGCCGTCAAGGACCGGCTCATTCTTCGCTAGAAAACTTAGGGTTTATAGGGTTTAGGGCTTGGGGGTTGTGTCTTTGCTGTTGGTTTTTTGCAGTTTGTGTTTGTTTCCTGGTTTCTGCACCCTTGTTTGGGTTTTGCGGTCTGCAGAGGCTTTGTCAGGGCTCTGCGATGTGGGGTCTTCGTGTTGTGGGTTTGTTTAGAGTTGGCTTGAGATCTAAAGCCTACCCATTGGCCCCATAGTAGTTCCTTTTGGGGATTATCTTATAGGGTTCTACATATGAACCCCCAAAAGGAACTCGTATGGGGCCTATGGGTAAACCCTAAACCCTAACCCGTCAAGCCCTGAGTCCGGAAAGTTTGAAATTCTGACAGTGAGGCTTACTTGGAGGGTCTGGGGACTTAGTAAGTAGTTAGTTAGGGTTTAGGGTTTAGGGTTTAGGGAGTAGTTATTTTATCTTTATGGACTTATACATATCATAATTTAGGGTCCCTTTTTGGGGTACTTCTAAGTCTACCTATTACTGCCTACTTACTATCTCCCCCGACCCTCCATGTAGCCCTAAACCTGACTCCCGGAAGCCTACACCCTACACTTCCAAACCTGCTGCAGGATGCACGAGACGGCTTCGACAAATTCTACGGCTCCCATCTCAGACCTCTTCTTGCCCAGAGGGTCCTATCCATACTCTCCATTATAGTTCCTTTTTTTGGTTTAACCAATTAGTTTTGCCATAAGGATCCTAAAAGGTAACCCGAAAAAGGGGCTGCAATGGAGACTATGGCTCAGATTATGGTTTGGGTAAGAATCCTTATAAGCCCCTAACCCTTAAACCCCTAAACCCTAAACCCCTAAACCCTTAAATCCCTAAACCCCAAACCTTTCCCTCCTCCGTTTTGGTACTTGGGAATCTAGGGGTTGCATCTGCTTAGGTTTTTCGGTTAATTAAGGGCTGGGGGTCCTGCACAGCGTAGTGACTCTTTTGTGGAGTGTATCTAGTTAACCCTAAACCCCGCGAGAGTGAATTGGGAGAAAAGGGGGCTCGACAAGAACCTAAACCCTAAGCCTGTAAGGGTCTTGCGGCTTAGAGTTTCGAGGCTGAGAGTTCTGACGGGTTAGCCGCTTCTAATGTAAGGACGCTACGTGGTCTTTTCCCATGGATTTGCTGTGGAGTGTAGGGTCTTGCATGAAGCAAAACCCTAAGCCCCAAAGCCTAAACCCTAAACCCTAAACCCCGAAGCCTAAACCCTAAACCCTAAACCGTCATTCATGTGGTTTGGCAGTGCAAGCGTATGGTTGATTGGCTCCGGCTTCTGCTAGGTCGAAGGCGTGAGCCCTCAACCCTATAAGCCCTGACCTCCATACCGTGAAAAAAACTAAAGTGCAATAAGGGATCCGAGACCTGCCAAAATCCCTTGATTAAGGAATATACCTTCAAATCATGTTAGGGATCCGATTATAATTTAAGGTAGATTCCTTAATTAAGGAATATATACCTCAAATCATATGAGGGATCCTATTATCACATTTAAGGTAGATTCCTTAATTAAGGGAATATGCCTTGTTTCAATAATAGGAATAAGGTAGATTCCTTTATGAAGGGCTTTTGGGAAGTTCTGGGAACCCCAGGCCTTGTTGACTCTGGAAACAGAACGGTTTAGGGTTTAGGGTTTAGGGTTTAGGGGTTTAGGGTTTAGGGTTTAGGGTTTAGGGCTTGTGATTCGCAGTTCATGCCTTTTGGGGCTTTAGAGCTGGAAGGCCCATGGTGTCTACCTGACGGGTCATGCTCATGTGTGTATGTATGTATATGTGTATGTGTATATATATATATGTATATATATGTATGTATCTATATATATATATATATACACACTGTTTTCTATACATATAGTATACATATATATATATATATATATATATATGTATGTATGTATAAAGGTATCTCATCAGGCACTTCGGTTGGGGTTGCAGAAGGAGCTGCACACGAATCTCAGGCATTCCCAGACCAGGGGATGGCGAGGACCCGAGGGATGTAAAGTAGAAGCCAGAAAGTTGGAACGGTTTAGGGTTTAGGGCTTATAGGGTTTAGGGTTTGGGGTTTATAGGGTTTATAGGGTTTAGGGTTTGGGGTTTAGGGTTTAGGGCCATTCATATCCTAATGCCCTTAAGGTAAAGTATAAGGGACAGTAGCACGAATCCTCCTAAACCCATGTTCCAACTTTCTGGGATTCACTGTGCTTTTGTTGGGTCAGGCGAGCTACGGTGGATTGTCGGGATGATAGCGGGTTTAGGGTTTAGAGTGTAGGCATAGGGGGCCTCTTGGGTCTGTAGGTTTTGCAAGGGTTTAGGGTTTAGGCTTTTGGGCTTTTAGTAAGGGTTTAAGATCTGGCAGGTTCCGGTTTTTTGGATTCAGAGCTTTGACTTTCGATTGTGATAACAGGACTCAGTTGGTCGATCAAGGGCACAGGATTACGAATTTAATCTCAAGA